GGTTGGCTTAGCGGTAATTAGAAGAAAGCACCTGGACGAATTGCAGTAATCGACCGCACGTATTTTCGGCTGCGCATGTGCAGTGTAGATCGTGCGAATTTTGACGTATGTCGGTTCTATTGTCGGGGAAGTGAGGAAACACATACCGCCGATCGCTGACTTCCCGATCCTCTCCCTGCAGAGAGCGGTGACTGTCATTCACCGCTCCCTGCAGGTATTCCCCTCTCCAATCCTCCAGCGCTGACTGGAAGAACAAACGGGAGGGGGCGGGCACAGCTGGCTCTCCTTTAGAGACGCAGATGCAGCTGTCAATCAGCTAGCGGGGCAGATCTTAACTGCATTGTTGGGATCAGTCCCGGGTGCGGCAAAGCTCTTCGCTCTCAACATATAGCAATAGCTCGCTATATACGGAGTTTTGTGTCACCAGAGGACATTGGTATATGTCCTTCTGTGACCCTGAAGAGAACTATGGGCAAAAAAAGGTTGCCCCATAGTTCCTTTTTAATGCTACAGCAATAAAGACAATTGTGCAACCTCTAACCTTGTCGCAACAGTTTGGTGAAGAGCTGCATGACTGTGCCCCTGTGTGTAAAGTGGCCTGCCCTGCCCTGCTCTCCTGGCAGTCAGTGCTCTGCACATCTTCCTTACAGTAAAACTTGTAGCGTCCTCATATATAATGCAGGTCCATTTGCCCTGCATTAGATCAGTAGTCCTTTGACCACCAGAGCAAAGGGGGGTGGGAAGAGGCTGTGGGGGCCAGTTTTGGATCAGGTAAATAAAGTCCTTTTCCCAGGTACCCAAGGCCTAAATGCCCACTTAACCATTGGAGGCCGCTCCCGTGAAGGACAAGTGCTGCGTGCAAGCAAACTGTTCTTCTCTATGGGAGTATGCGGCTGTACGGCGTCCTACGCTCACCCGAAATGCACGTCCTTGAGGGTGCAGATGTCCCTGCTCGGACGCAGACAGGATCCATCCTGTCTGCGTACGAGTACGGACACACGCACTCCCATAGAGAAGGACAGGTTGCTGCATACAAATCACACGCAGCACCTGTCCTTCACGGGAGCGGCCCTATACGGCCCTGCACGCAGCACGGATCTGTACGAGCCGCCTGTTAGTCGTGTGAATGAGGGCTTAAGGGTATCACTAACTCCAAAATAAAGACGATGGATACACTTTAACCCATACACAATCCCATTGCTAGCAATGCTCAGGCTAATGCATCAACCACAGACACACAGCAACTGGAAATCAGAATTCATATCCCCAACAAGCCCTGATAATCCTAATGAGACAAAGTCCAAGGCAGAGGCTGCTATTAACCCCCTGATGTCTGTTTATCTGTATTACGCACTCGTCAGCTCCTCTGCGCTGATTTTCAGGTAAAATAGGATGCAGCTCAGCGTTTGCACAGCGTACATAATGGAGGGCAACAAACAAGAACCTGAGAAACCCATCGCCTTTCCCCGGTTAATCCAAATCAGCGATGATTACTTAACTAACAGGAACCTCCCCAAAATAAACGTGCATTGTCACCTTACAGCCAGGCAGCGTGCAGACAAATGCATCACACAGCAAGGATAGATTCGCACTTTGCAGTGTGAAAACAGTTGTGCATATTAATAATGCGGGGTATGGCACGCCTCTTGTGTGCTTATGCACGTTGTTATCACAAGTCAGTATACTCGGTTTCCCTGACAGTCATAGGGTATACTGCATTTAAACGAGAGCACTAAAACGCACACTAAAGCAGAGAGGGACACAGAAGCCACATTGATACTAAATAGAATAGGTATACCGTGGTGCCTCTTAGACAGGACCTTCTTTTGTCTACTTCCTGTAAGACGGGGACAACGCTGCTTGTTCTACTGTAAAAATGTACAGCAGTGTTGTCACCCTGTGAACAGTGTAAGTTTAAATGGATTTTAGAATGTACATAAAGCCCAAAACTTTTTTTTCTCTGGATACTATGTCCAGGTCAGAACAGTTTGTTCCCGACCCAAAAAAAGCATCCCAAGCATTGTATTTCTAGGCTCCGTTCACACCAGCGCAGTCTGATCCAGTCCAGACAAAAAAAACTGCTCCTCTCATTTTCTCTGGTCCAGAACGCATGCAAATACACTGAACTGCACCTGAAAGCCCATTTTAAGCAAAATAAAACACACCGGAGCATGGAAAAAATGCACTGCATTGGGTTTGCAGAATTGCTCCGGACATGGTGGGAACATCCTTTACTACAAGTTTAGACTTTGCATACACTCAGGCATATACGCTATAAAGCAGGGAATGCCATTTAAAAAACACGCACCAGGAACATTCACCTGCAATGAGTGTTTTGTTCATGTCAGATTCACTGTTTAGGGCCCCATTCACAACTAAGCATAGCGGGAACACGCTCACTGTTCACCGCGTGTCCCCAATGATTTCGATGGGGTGCTGAACGTGCGACAAATGCTGAAACGTTTATAGTGATCTGGATCCACTGCACTCCAGACTGAAATCCCAATATGAAGATGGGTGCTGGTATGACCCGCGGATGGTGCCATGTAACTCACGTAAGTCACCTGCACTCCCAGGTCCAATGTGCACAATGCCTTTTATTGAGAGGCTAAGCAATCATGGCGAAAGTGCAGAAAGCAACGTTTCAGAACCATAAATGGTCCCTTCATCCGGCAAACACAGTGGCGCATGCAGAAAAGTAGTGCATGGAGCAAAATCTTCGACATGCATTCTGTTTTTATTCCCTCCACATTTGTACACAAACACAGAGGCAAAAAACGCACATTTGCCCAGCCGCGTTTGGGGTTTCATTAATTGGTAATAGCACTGCAAGCGCATTTCAAGAACGTGCATCAAAGTGTACTTTTTTGTGCGTTTAACACACACACACAAAACGCTCAAGTGTGAAAGGGAATTAAAAATATACCCCCTTATTCCCTATTCACATATGAGCGTAGTATACGTGCTTCAAATGTGCAAAAAAAAAACCATAAAAAACCCTGTACTTGCTGTGCCATTACCAGTTAATGACACCCCAAATGTGGCTGGCCAAACGCATGGCTTTCCACACAACGCGAAGGAAAAGAAACACAGAACACGTAGATTTTGCTACATGCACCACTTTTCCACGTTTGTCGATCATTCAGGACCCCCATTGAAATCAATACATGCTAACATGACGCACGTTCCCACTATGCTTAGGTGTGAATGCGGCCTTAAGGATCGCTAGGAGTTTTGAAAAGTTAACCCTTGCAGTGGGGCTACCCAAATCCACCATTCTGCAATGACTAATCACCTCTGCCCCTCAGCTTCAGTTGTGGTATGTCCCTCTGCCTCTTGTCTAATAGACCTATAGTAGACATGATGACGTCACAGGGTCCTTAGACCGACAGAGCTCAGGGAAAAAGAGGCAGAGGGATCGGTCTAGCAGCCAAGTGGGACTGAGGATCAGGTGAGTATATCTTTATTGTCGCTCCCTAGACAAAACGAGCAGTTAACCCTTACAGTTCGGGGGTAGCCCCACTGCAAGGGTTGCATTTTCAAATTGCAGACTATGGACAAGAAAATGTTTATGTATTGTTAACAAGTAGGAAAAGAAGAGCTCAGGTGCATTTTTGGTCTGTTTCGGGGGTTTGCCAGCCCATTCAAACTAATGGATATGCGACATTAACGCACATGACTCCAATGCGCTGTAATGCAGAATGGTGAAAAGGAGCCTACAACAAGCCATCACCAACCTTTCTAGCTGCTTGTACTGTTAAACTATTCATCCTCACAGATCACAACATAGACTATGAAGTCTCTGTTCAATAAGGGAAGAAGAAATGTGATTTAAGAGCCTCTGTTGCTAAATTTTAAAGTGACATTTCTCCATAATACATTTCGCTACAGAGGATGAATGAGGACTGGCTTTAAAGTGCTTTTATGCTTTGTTCAGAATATGCAAATACTTTCATGTGCATAGTCTGGGCACAGATGCATTATACATTTAAAGGAACACCGCTTTACGTTAAAAAGAAACTGTGCTTTGCTCGTGCCAGGAAAAGTAACAGGTTTACATCAACAGAGGCTCCACCAGCTCACTCTTTTCCTTTACTCCCCGGCTGCTCTATGTGGCTGCAGGGAGTGAGGAAATAACTCCTATTAGGAGTGAGGAAATCCCCTCCCTCTGACATACCCCAAGTAGTTAGCTACAAACAAATGTCTCCACCTAGTGTAAAACACCTTCATTACAACCTGTGGTGTGGTCATGTTTAGGATGGAGGGGTGTATTATCCATTTAGCATCAGCACAATTCTATTATTAAGGCATTAGGCTGTCAATTAAGGTAAATCAGGAAGAAGATTGAAGAAGAGGATCTGCTACCTATATTTAGGAGCAGATCTAGGTGCATGTCATTTTATTTACTGGCTGGTATGGTGTTGGCAACAAACTCTCATGATACATCGGCACAGAGCCCTGCAGCCTTCTGGGATATGTGACATGATATCCCAGCAGGAGGATGAGGGCTACCAGGGCCATCCCCACCTTTTTTACCGGCTGAGGCAGTCAGGGGAAGGGGGCCGAGCTGTCTGCTTGGCAGGAAGTGGCCGAGCTGTTGGATGCCCTTGCTGCTGCCCTCCAAATGAGATGCCACCTGAGGCTACCTCATTATGGGGATGTCCCTGTGGGCTATTCCTCTCTCGCATAGGTACGACAGGAAGCAGGAGGGTGCTTTTTTTTTTTTTTAATGCAAGAGGGAAGGCCAAGGTCAATTGATGAAAGGTACACTTTAATTAGTGACCTAAGAGGACTATACAGAGGCACAAAGAATTAAAAAAAAAAAAAAAACCTGATCAAAACCATTTAAATGAAAATGTACAAAGTTTATTTAAAACAAAATACAGATATTGGCTTTGATTAAACATTCTGACTGGCTGATGTAAACCACAACAGTGACTGCATCCCGTGAAGAAGCCCCATGAGCCCAGTTGCGCCTCCATCTGATGTGGCTACAGTTTATCCCATTGTCCCCGGGTTTCTTCCAGTCCAATCCATACAGTCCTTCTTGACGCTTTATTTCTTCTTTGCTTTGGCTGGTTTGGCAAAAAGAGCGGGCTCCATCTGATCCCTGGAAAGTCCGCGCACAGAGAATAGTCTGTCTGCCCGTTCCTGCAACGTCCCGCCGCACTTTAGGCCCAGCGCCATCAGTTCGGTCTTCAGCTTGTCAAAACCCAGAGCCTCCAGCTCCACAGCGGAGGAGAATGACATGAGGTTGAAGGAAGAAGAGTCCTATGGAAAATACAGGCAATTACCATCATGTTCTGTCTCCATAAACGTGAACCTTTCGGGCTATAAATCACAAACTTCAAACAGTAACACGATTAGACAGCCCCAGGCTAAGCAATTTCCTTGAAACCCCGAATCTGAGTGCACAGCTGAGCACCTCTTCCTGGTTTTCTGATATTTTCCCACCTTCCAATAACTCATGACTCAATGCGCTAGGGGGCATGCTGCTCTACAAGACTATGATTCAATGAAGTGTAAAAAATGGGAGCAGCCACTCCAATCATGCTTTTTACCTGTGCAGGCTCTGATGCAGTCATCCTGGCTTTACTTCCTTGTAAATTATTGATCTGAAAAAAGCATGCAGGATACGAGTCAGACGCGTGTGCTTGTTCCAGGTTACTATTGTGACGTTCTATATTGTATAGTATTGACCCTGTTATTGTACAAAATACTTTTCCTGTTACCTCTATTGCTAAACACTGCTCCGTCCATGAAGAATGATCCCTAATAAAATCAGCAGGGAAACGGACATTTCTGGGAGTGCTCATCTCCTTGGTCCCCCGGAGCTTTCACTGGCACCTCCTGCTGACCTGGTGTCACCAATGTCTCCTGCAAGCCAAAGCATCCTCCATGCTCAGCATGCCCACTGTACTCCAATCTCCAAGTCACATGTCAGGCAGAACCGATTTATCCCACAATTTGAAGGTCTCAACTTGCCCACCTTACATTATATTGTAGCAGGAATTGTATCCAAGCCGTCACTTGTTGATGTACAACTTGCTAAGTTGAGGTAAGGTACATACTCAGGTTTAATAAGTGCTCCCCAAGGGGCACAGGAACTCAGTGGAATTTAAATAACCTATAGTATTGAGGCAGGAAATCAGAGAACAACCCATGCAAACACAGGGCTTTAGTACAAACCTCAAGAAGTAAACTGGGGTCCCTTTGTCCTGAGCTGCTTTCTCTGTTAAGACTGCGCCTCTCATTCTGCACTGCTCTCTTTAGTGATGCCAGAAGCCACAACTCCAAGAGTACCATCAGGCTGATAATATCCCGGGTGATACTCAGCAAGACTGTGTGTCAGAGCAATGTAGTCACCGTTGAGTAGATATAAGCCCTCAGGGGCAGGGCCCTCCTTACCAACTTGTCTTGAATTGTATTGTGATTGTAATGTCTTCCTTGTATTGTAAAGCGCTATGCAAACTGTTGGCGCCATATAAATCCTGTATAATAATGATACGCCGCAGTGGTGGATTGCAGCAGAATATCAGGTTATTAAACCCGGAACTGAAGGTGTCAGCTATTTAGCAGTTTGTTCTTCCCTAATAGTTTAAGGAAGAACTTTTAGCACTAAAGTTGTGTACTATTGTGTGTACTTACCATGGCAGGGGACTCCTTTGGTGGGTCAGGAGTGAGTGTTGGCATCTCAGGTTCCAGTATAGCCTCTGAAGGTTCAGTCTGACTTGAGTCAGCGACTGGCTGTTCTTCGTCCGCTGCCTCTTTGATCACTTCTGTCTGGCCAGAGTCAGAATCTGGCTGCTCACTGCCCGTGGCCTCATTGTCAAGCTCGATGTTGTCACTCAGCTCTGGACTCTGCTCTTTGCTAATTGAGGTGGATGAGGAACACTGTGGAGGTCCATCAGAATCACTATCAGAGCTGTGCAGTCTCATCTCTGCACTTTGACACGAAGCGGATGTGCTGGGAGATTCGGAGTCACTGTCGCTGCCATTGTCAGAGCTGGAGGACACTTCCAACCCTTCCACTCCAGACCTGGGATCAAAACACAAATGTTACACCTCATGCACAATAGATCATGCCATCCAGACTCCAGCTCTATACAGAAATATCCGCAGCCTTTTGGAATTGAATGTTATACTAAAAGCTGTAAAATATTACACTAATGTAATGTCAATGTGCTGTATTCGCCACCACCTGGGATGTTCCTAACTGAAGTAGTCACACGCTGAAATCTAGCCAGCAGGCGGCTTCCATTCAGGCTTTTTATATAGACAATGGCTCCCTCCAGTGGACTCATCTGTGTTATTACACAAACACATGGAAAGTTAAAAGGAGAACTATGGGGTCAGTGTTTTTCCCCATAGTTCTCCTTAGGGTAACGGGAGGACACAAACTAGCGTCCTCCCGTTACCCTAGGCTCAGTATACCGCGAGCTACAGCTCGCGGTATACTGAGACACTGCAACCGGAGCGGATCCCGACTTAGACGACAGGATCCGCCCAGCTGCGTGAGTGACAGCTGGCTCTGCCTATCTAGAGGCAGAGCCAGCTGTACCCGCCCTGTCCGTTCCGCCAGTCAGCGCTGGCAGATCGGAGCGGGGAGGGGGGAATCCAGCCCCTCCCCTGTCACAGCAGAGAGCCGTGACAGGATCGAGAGGCGAGCGAACCCGGTATGTGTTCGCTCACCTCCCGATCTACTGAGCCGACCGGTGACAGTCTTATTGGCACAGGTCGGCTAGAACTATGAGGTGAGTGAAAAGCACTCACCTCATAGTTCTCCTTTAAAGGGACTGAATGGGCCTCCTTGCCATAGATCCTGGTGCGGTTTTCACCAATTTTGAGTTGTGGGTATTGTCTCGCTGCATTTTATATACATTTTTAAAAAAATTAACTCATGGGGCAGTGGGATCCCCTAGACTGCAGCAGGTTGCAGGCCTGGGGATTAAAGCCAGATAATTCACCGGCGGAAAAATAAATCCTGCCATGAAGGTCTATGTTCAGGCACTTCCCATTATAGGGTGACAACACTCTGTCCCTGCTGCACTGTTATCAGCTCATTAGGTTTCTGACAGAAAGAATAGGCATATTTTTTTTTTGTGCCCATTGAACAGATATAACAAAACACCTTCAATTGTAAATTTAACAGACCGAAAAGGGACCAAATAAGAGAAGCTTACCGTTAGGGTTTACATACACTTTGATATAATCCCGATACCAGAGTTAAACTCAATTATTATAATCCTGTGTAGTGAACAGTAAACTTGACTCATGGTTTCAATGGCCCAGATATCCTCTTTTAGGGTATCTCCCTTTCCCCTGCAGGGTCCTATGGAGCCACCCTTGTGTGTGCTAATAAGCCGTGTGTACGTCTCCACAAAACACAGGCACAGCAAGGCAAAACACTCCCCTGCTCCTCCAATAGTAGATGAACAGCTGCTGGAGACTGCTCTGTCCCTTGTGATCTTGTACTGGACAGACGTTCAGGGAAGTGGAGCGAAGAGAGCTGGAGCGGTTTGGCACCACGATGACTAAGTGCTTTGTCAAAAATGTAAATACTTTGGTGGGCAATGTGAATTGTTTATTCTAAATTCAATACTGAAAATAGTTTTGAGAGTTTAAAACTACTTTAAAACTTTATTACAGTTATGTTTTTATGAGAAATATCAAATCATTCTGTAAACATGGGACTAGCGATCTTTAGGGGGCCACTGAAAATTGCTTTGCATGCCCGCCACAGCACACCTGCCCCCGTGTTATAGATCAAACAGTAAAGACATGAAATAATAATTTCCTGCACAGCATCTGAAGTCTTATGAGGCTGCAGACACACAGACAATACAACAAGGGCTGAGGAGAAGGAAAACTGCTGACATCACATGACCAGGAACAAGGAACACTGAAGGATGGGAGCGGAGATGAATTTGGCAATGCCAGGGCGAGTCACAGGTTGGAAGGGGTAAGGGCAGGTTCTTTGTACCAGTAACATAAATCAATGTCCTTACACATCTCACAGCACAGAGTAGCTTATACTGTAAGAATGTCAGCTTACCAAAAGAACTTCTTGCTAGATTTCCTACTGCCGCTCGGTGGCTCTATCTTACGTTTGCGACAGTCGCTCGACTCTGGGGAGACCACTGTGCTGGAAGAAGCTTGCAGACCTGGGTAAGAAACATCATCAGTCCAATAAATATATGCAGCAAAGAAACTATGCGCAGGACACAGACCGGTGCGTACGACGGGATACAGCTGAACTCTGAGATCCTCTTAAAACTTATTATTGGTCTTCACTGTATATAGCACTGACAATCTACACAGCGCTTTACATACTGCACAGTCACATCAGTCCCTGTCCTCAAGGAGCTTACAATCTAAGGTCCCCATCTCACATGCATACAAGGGCTGATTTAGACAGGAGGCAATTATCCTTCCAGCATATGTTTGGAATGTGGGAGGAAACCGGAGTACCCGGAGGAAGCCCACACAAGGAGAACATGCAAACTCCTAAGGATAGTGTTCTGACTGGGATTTGAACCGCCTCGGTGCTGCAAGGCACAAGTACTAGCCACTAAGCCACCCTTAATTGATTCATAACTCCACTTACTGCTTGTGCTATACTGCTGCTCCTCACAGAGGAAACCTGCAATTCAACAGACCTGCTAACCAATGTTCCACATGTGAAATCATCTTAACAGTTATTAAAGACACATCGTCACCTGACTCGCGCATTGCAAAGTGACAAAGTCTCTGCAAAGAGCATCCTGCACCCCCCTTATACTCCACTTATCAGTTCTCACTTGCCACTCCTTGCTCCTCTGCAGCCATTGAGAATACTCAATACTTCTAGGCATGGTAGAGCGTGTGACCTGCTCCCCTGTGACAGTGCCTGGGGATAGCAGCCAATTGCTAGGCCTGAGCACTGTCACAAGACCAGGGGGAGCGCCATCATCACTTTCCTTTTTTGCCAACACAGCTGGTTTCTCTACAGAAACACTGTCACTTTACCCTGCAGGGTGACCGGGTCTATTTAAGGAAGGAAGCAGAGTCACTGTCATGACTAATCACATGTAATACAATGACACAAATAAGAAGAGCATGAAAACATTAAAAAAAATTGATAGATATAGAATATATATATATATATATATATATTACATAAAATGATTAAATGTTAAAATTACAATAACTTGATTTGTATTCAAAAGAGGTCTTGGTTATGGTCGGTCTATTGGATCGGATTGGTGACCCCGATATAATATTAGGGAGATTCCTGTATCTTCCAGGAAGTGGTCTCTAGCAGGACACACACACCTTTGATGACGGAGTCCTCCAGCCTTTCAGACATGGCGCTGCGCTGTTTGTGATAGTCCGGGTCGGTGAAGTAGTGTTTTGGCTCTTCCAGTTTACGTTTTAGTCTTTCCAGGCGCCTCTGTTCCTTCTCTGCTTCCCGCTCGGCTTGTTTCTTGATCCATTCCGCCATACTATAGAGAAGACAAAAACAGGACTATTAAAAAGCATGCGAAGACAGAATCCGAGAGGTCATCAATACAGACATCTTCGACTGTAAATATATGTGACCTGCCAGTCACGTCCATCCTCTCACTTCAACACCCTGAATCTCTGACCCAGAACAGATATGAAGTTCCTTTCCTGACACCGCTCTACCCGTTATCAAGAGGCAAATAACTTTTTTTACATAATGCCTTTCATTACATCCCTTATTTTAGGACCAGTGATGTCATCACCTTGTCTCCCTGCAATGCAAAGTTATGTACAGAGAGTTGTACATAACTTCCTGAAATCATCACAGCACCTTGGATCAGTACTCCTCTCAAGTCCTGGGGCAAGCAGTGGGCTGATCATAGGGAGGAGTTATGCAAATATCAAAATGACTTGACGGTTGAATGTCAATCTGGGGAAGTGGGCGTTCCTAGGCCGGCTGTATTTGCAGATGGTAATGCCCAAGTGTGATTCTGAGCCTCCAAGATTGAAAGAACGGATATCCAATGAGTAAAAGGGCTCAGACACTCGATATCCTCCATCCAGGAAATGAAGCGGCTTCTATCTGACTTGCTGCAGCCTCCTAGCACACATCATGAGAAGCTCGCCGTGTGCAGTGACATCAGAGTAAACAATGTCAGTCCAGGAGAGGTGCGAGGCAAGGCTGGAGGTCAGGACTCTTCACCTCATGATGCTCCCCCTGGTGGGTTTTTGCCCCCCAAACTTTTTTTTTTTCTTCCATCTTCCTATTTATTATTTGACTCTCCTCTTCATTCCGCCTTCTGTTCTTTATTCAGACCGCAGGATTACTGGCCCTAGAACTAGTTCCCCCAAAAACACCTGACTATATACTCCAAGGGTCCTTGCTCTCTTATGTCCCCAGTTACAAATGTGTTACATTTCCAAAGAAGTGGAGTGTGGATGCCATGTGCGATCTCCATGGGGAATGCCGCCATCGCTGAACTCAGACAATACTAACTGCCTGGCTGTCATGCTGACTTTAATACCTTGTGTTCTGTACACACACACACACACCTCGATCGTTCCTCTGTGGATATGAGGGGAGCATCTTCATCTAGGGCCATAACCCAAGTGAGGTGCAACAAACCGGTTCCTATCCCCCAACACCTGGGAAAACCAGCAAGATTTGAAACTTACGCTTTTTCATGGTTGACATCTCTGAGTCGCCTTCCACTGAGGTCACGACAGGCCTCTCTGTTTGTGGTCTTCTCAATCTGAGCCCCCAGCGCCCTGAGCATGGAGCCGAAACCTACAAGTAGAGCATACGCCGATTATCTCCCGTCGTGTTTGCAGCCATAAACCACAGTAAGAGAAAAAAAAAAAGTCTACATTTCTTACAGTGTATGTCCGGGCAAAAATAACCCAACACTGATCTGCCGGAAATCCAGTGAGATCCTAACTACCTGTGCACTCTGCTGACTGATATTCTAAACAGCATTGTAAGCCCTTCCCAGTTCTACAGAACACCCGACTGCTTGCATCTTATTTGTGTATCACTGTAGATCATGAAATCATCTCTGAACTTATCCTTGTCCTTCCTTCTGGAGGGGGGCTACTTTTGTTCCCCATGGTCCCTGTGTGTGTTGTAAAGTAGTCACCGCTCCAAGCGCGCTCCCGTGATGCACTACAGTCACAGATTTCGTTTACTAATTTGCATTGAGATTATAGTCCATCCTAGGAGCGAACTTAAAGCGGTGACTACTTTACAACACACACAGGGGCCATGGTCAACACAAGTAGTCACCCTCCAGAAGGAAGGACAGTGTCAGCACCAATTCAGAGATGATTGGAGGATCTACAGCCGAGTGATACACAAATAAGACACATTGTTATTAGTTAAGATGCGCGAATGTAATTCTAAGATTTTTTTATCTCCACTCTAATGATTTTCCTGACTGTGGAGAAGACTTTCCAATGATATAGGAATCCTTCACAGACGTACCTCCTTTTCCTCCCCGGAGTCGCGGTTCCACGCTGTAAGTAAATCCATTCTGCAAAGCTTCGTCTCTGCTAACCCGTCGTCCATCACGGGTCACATAAAAATCACAGCGAGATATTCCCTGAGGAGGAAGGCAAAGAACACGTCAGTCAAATGATAAAATATTTCTTAGAGTCCCCATCGCCAACTTAAAAAAAGAAGCTGAAATCACAGAGAGGTCAAGGGGGGTATTTATAATCAATTTGCAGAGCCGCCCGCTTGCCCCTCAAATCTCTGAACGTTCATTATATGTGAATAGAGGCAAAAAAAAAAAAAAAAACATCTTAGCAAATTTGCTTTTCAGGTTAAAAGGAGAACTATGGGGTCAGGGCTTTATCCCATAGTTCTCTTAAGGGTCAAGGGAGGACATATACTAACTTCCTTCCGTGACCCAAAGCTCAGTATACCGCGAGCTACAGCTCTCTATATACTAAGACCATCGCAGCCGGGACGGATCCTGACATTACTGTCCAGATCCACCCAGCTGCGTGATTGACAACAGGCTCTGCCTATCTAGAGGCAGAGCCAGCTGTACCCG